TTTAAATTGTGGAAACTTTTCTTCAATGTATCCAACATCTTCCCATGTTGCTTCTTCTAAGGTAAGTCCCTCTCTCTGAATTAACCGTGTAACTGCCATGTTTTGCCTCTTGATTATATGTGTCTGTAATAGAATTAGTGGCTATTTCTCCTTTAATTCGTCATGTCCTTCCTTGGGAAGTTGGAGCAATATACTTCCCTTTTCCCTATCTTTTTCTTCGGTAAGGATACATGAAACACTGGGTGTATCTTAGCTTTAGCTGGTAAGGCTTACTGATAAGCCACCTTTCCCACCTTTTTGATCACCTGGTAAGGTCCATAGCACTTAACAGCTAGTTTCTGATTAAATCTGGCTGCCATTGATTGCTGTTTGTAGGGTTGCAACCAAAGGTAAACCCAATCTCCAAGTTCAAATTCTCTTTCACTCTTCTTATTAGCATATAACTCCATTCTGGCCTTGGCTTGTGCCAAGTTCTCCTTCAACAATTGATCCAGTTTATGCCTTTCTGATAGGCCCCAAGTTATCCATTCATGCTTGTTAAGTCCTATTCTAGAGTGTTCCAATTCAGTTAGTTATTAGGGGTAGTTTGGGGAATAAAAGGGGGGGAATATTAGTATAAGTGTAATAGGAGGGTGAGGAAAAGAGGATGGAAAAATATTGAGTAAATTGGTTTATCCAATTGGGGAGAGTTACAGCCCTCTCGAATGGCTGATTGTGTCTTTATATTTCTGTAATTCCGTTTATTTCCGAAGCAATACACATTTTCATTTCCTGTTTCTTATTATACTCTTGTGACCCAGCCAGGTTCTTATCAGTGTGTTCCACCATTTTTTATATGAACATAGAGATGCTGTAAGGAAATTACTTTATTTTCCTCACAATGTTAACTAGGCCACTGTATGAGGTTCAAGAGACCACTTGGTGCAAAGGATAGTCATAATTCAGATAGAAGACTTCAGAATACTGAAACATAAAACTCTATCAAGCATGAACCCTGAGGAAGCGTTGATCAATAGAAAAATTCCCAAAAATGCACCAGAATAATACGTGGGTTGACTCACAGTTTGAATACCAACTCCAAATAGTGACGTTGAGGAGTTTATGCTGAGTGTTGAGACTTCAAAGGTCCAGTTTGGAACATAAAGGCCATACAGCAGAATCATGTATAATAAACCTAGTAAGATTGCAGCCACCCTGCATGATATCATAATTAACAGTTAAGAAGTGAATATAATTAAATTTAAAATCCAACAAGGATTCCAGCAGTAAAAATAAAGTTAAAGGGATAAAATGTCAATAACTTAAAATACATGGAAGTATAGAATACTACGTGATACTCACGACTGGAAAGAGTATCTCTTCATAAATGCCACCGCTGAATCAACGACGGTATTATTAATAAGCCAAATCTCCAATACTGAAGCCAGCACATAGCCAATTGCGATCCTCTACAAGAAAAAGCATCAGCAAAATTCCTAAGAAAATCTCAATTTACAAAAATCCTATGCAAGCAAAATAGCAGCCTGAGATAACAGTTTATAAAACTCCTTCCTCTCAGAGTTTTGACTTTTGACGTTTCAAATTTGCCTGTTCTGTTTCTGGGATAAAACATTGTCTGACACGATTATGTAGCAAGCCAGGAGGTCAGGCAAAAATAAAAGAGAGCTTAAGTTACTAGTTCATCAGAAGGTATATTATAAAAAGAGACATCAGGTAACAATAGCAAGTCTCTGAAAAAGAAAAGAACTAAAAATAATGAACATAGAAGAAGATATTTGGTTTACACCACTAGCACATAAGTTACTGTAAAAAGAGACATCAGGCAACAATAGCAAGTCTCTGAAAAATAGAAGAACTAAAATTAAGAACATAGAGGAAGATATTTGGTTTACACCACTAGCCCCATAAGTTCATACTGCAAGAACAACCACAATGTTATAGGCAAGTCATCATACCTGTAGCACACCCATCAATCGTATTTTCTCCACATCCACCCCATAAGTTAAATGGCCGCGCCCGTGGAAATAACCACCTAAGCACACAATTAGCAAATATTAAAAAATTATGTAACTAAAAGGACACATCCGTTTTCTTTGCTTCTTAAGGCATGTTTGCACACAATGTGTTTCGCAATTCGACTGGTCTAAACATATGTTGTAACCCCTTTATAGTTTGTATTTTGTTTTTTTTCCAGAAAACAATAAAAATATATCACACACCTTGAAGAATTACTCCCAAGAGAAACAGCTTAATGGTCCTCAATATAACTTTCTTTGTAGCTGCTGATTTGTTAGGTACTTTCTGTGTAGAAAAAATGAACACGCCTTTACCAGTTGAGTTAAAACAACATGAATAGCTTCAGCATTAGTGTCATCCACTCTTATACTGAAGTCAAAAACACCATCAATATAATACCATTTACTACTAAATAAGATTTTAGGAAAGGTTTTATGTCGGGAAATCATGTTTTTCCCTTTTATCTTGTTCTTTCCACTGACAAGTTCGAGTTCCTTAAAAAGAATCAAAAGAATTGAAGTGAGAATAGTCAATACCATGAACACAAGACTCACAGAGACACCAACTCCAAAGAGAAAAAACGGCATCACAAAATCGGCGATTGTCACTCCGAACCACGGTGCGTGGTTTATCGATGGAAAAGCTTTTCCAGCATCGTCAACTGAAATCATCAGCTGCCAACGAAAGAGTAAACGAAATAACAAATGAACTCTTAAACTCTAAAGAAAAAGATGAACAAATAGCAAATAGATAAATAGTTATCTGAAGAAACTGAAATTCATCAACTGCGTTGAAATTAAAGAACGCAATGAAATCGTATTGAAAGCATAATTTTATTAAATAGAATCAAGGTGAAATACCGCGATAGTGACGCCTCGAAAAACGTCGAGAGAGACAAGTCGTTGTTTAGGATCAGTTGAAATATTAGACTGTGATTTATCTGGTAGTTCATCCACCGACGTCGTCGAAGAGACAATCACATCTCCCGGCGATTCCTCAGGTTGTGAGTTCTGAAGTAGAGGAGCGCGGTCTCCGCCGTCGGTGTCTGTTACCACCACGATCGAGGCCATCATTTTTTGGTCAGTCCCACCGGTGTCAACGGTCAATTTGAGCTTGCAGCCCCTCCCCCCGGGGGTGTTAATTCTATTTAAGTTTGAGAGAGTGCCCGTAATTTTAAAAATGTACAATTGAATCCATGTAGTTTTATAAACCTTGCAATCTACTTCCTAAAATGGCATCTTACTTTTTTTTTTTTTGGCACGTAAGTTCCCAACTTATGTAATTTGATGAGCAATAGGTTTCCTTCACAAAGTGGCGCCAAGATACACGTAAGACTGTCATCTTTTTGTATCAATTTTTAATTTTAAATTCATTTTGAATTTTATATTTTGAGTGT